TCTTCGATATACCTTATGACCCATTTATTCATCATTTTTTACTTAATTCTCTAGAATTGCAACTAGGAAGCAGTTGATATATTCTGATTAGGGCTGGGCGAGTCAAACGATTTCTCGAGTCGAGTCGAGTTGAGTCAAATTATTTTTACTATTTTTTCGTTGTCTGTTTTTCTTGATAAAGAACGGCAACTATAGACTTTTCATTACACGATATTTATTTCCTAGTTTTTATGTACAAAAACGAAAATAAGAAGTGACATATAAAACAAAATGGTGCAACTACTCTAGATTAATCAACAAAATAATAGAAGTAAAATCAATTCTTTTTTTTATGCAGTTCCACATTACAGTAAAAAATATCGCTTTTTTTTATAAACAAAAGCCTAAACAAAACTCTGTTTACAAGTAAACTTTATTTATTATCATTAAATTGATGTGTTATTGCAAATTAAAAATGGTAACATACAAATATTAGCTGCTGTGGAACTTGAATGATTCGTTCTCATTAAAACACCGTTTTGGAAAAACACATTCAACTGGTTCGAATGCAGCAAAAACGTACATTATTTTCTTAACAAGCTTATTAAAAGATCGTTATGAATGTACTTCCTCCGAAATCAGAGGGGTGGATATGGATGAGTAGAATATTATACACCATTCCCTTTGTTTAAAAATAAATCCTGTGAAATGAATGACGGAAACAATTCGTGATCAAAAATACTGTCACTCAATAATTATACTACAGTACGATAAAAAAAATGTGACGTGTAATGCGATGCAAAGTTTTAATTCATTTGATTACATACACGTGCACACCTTCAAAGACTAACTAAAAGAAACCGAGAATAAATACACATATTCAGTAATACGCGGGCGCGAACATTGACGACCATATCAAAACATAGGTCTAGAAAAGTTCCGAAAGAAGTAAATTGAATGCAATATATTCAATTAGGACGAGAGTTTTGAAAAAGTGACAATTTAATCTTGTAAATTGTGGTTCTTTTTTAACAAGAGCAAATGGAAAGTTTTGCAAATGAATGATTCGAATATGACTCGAGTCAAACAGTCAAGTCAACCTCATCCAATTTTCGAGTCCGAGCCATTAGAAAAAAGTGACTCGAGTCCGAGTCATGACTCGGACTCGCCCAGCCCTGATTCTGATGATATATAATCGTAAATTGTGTATCAAAAGCTCTGTTACGGTTTGTGATGGATCTGGAGCCTGTCTGTCATGGTCTGTGATGGGTCATTAATGATTTACTAACGAAATATTAACTAGAGATTAGTTAATTATCTAAGCCATTAATTAATTAATTATTACATTAATTAGCTAATTCGTCTATCACGGTCTGTAATGGGTCATATAACCATCTGTCACAGTCTGCGATGGGTCATGTGAACATCTGTCACGGTCTGTGGAGGGAGTAAGTGCAAATTTTTACCCTATATACTTCAACACTACTTTCAGATCGTGGTTCACAAAATCTTATGGAAAAGTTTGAAAATTACTTTTAAAACAAATTGAAGAAAAATTTTCATTACAACAACAAGAATATGACAATAAATTACTTTAAGTAATTCATATTCTTGATTTAATTTAATTTAAATTTACTCTTCTTTTTCTCGTAGCTTTATCAAATAATGAATATGAAATATTTAGTTACATATCAAGAACGATTAATTATTGCCAAATATTCTCAAGCTTATGTTCTATTTTACTTTTCTTTTCGTTGAAATTCCTTTAATTCATCAATAAAAATATATAGATGATATATTAAATATCCTCAATTATAAATTCTCATAGATTTAACAAAAAGTAATTGATTTCTTTTTTTTTATTTGAAGATATAATAATGACTATTGATGATAGTACTATCGATATTCATCTTACAAAACTTGTTGGTTAGTTGATTAATTATATTTTTTTACTAATAAATTTATCTGTTTGATAAATTGGTTAGTTGATCGTCGACATTGTTCAAAAGATTGGAATGAACAATCAGTAGCTATTCGAGCTAAAGTTCGACAAGCTCTTCTAGATATGCTCGAACATGATGAAATCAAACGATTACTTGGCTCTTCATGTACGAAGATTCTTTCTTCTTCTATTTTAATGAATTATTTTCTTCGTATATTTGGATTATTTTTGTTGTCTTAAAATTGTTGAGACATTAAAAGAAACAGAAAAAGAAAGTAAAAATATGTTTGGCATGTATTCATTATGACGAATGAAAGTATTTAAAAAAAGTTCGTTATTTCAATTTCTTATTTCGCAATATTCATAGGATTGGTGAACAATTGTTTCAAATTATGAAAAGAATTCTGTTTATCTTGGTTTGTTATTTTCCCTTAAAAAAAGGATCTTCTTTCTTTGACAATATTCAATATTTGTAGTTGAATGCGCTCAACT